AAGACAGTTGACGTGAAAATAATGGCAGGATATTTGTGTTTCTCCATGTGTGTTTATGTATCACTACAATGTAGCTATTTCTCCTTCCTCTCCTAATTAACATGTGGTTTTGCTTTATAGACACATTGTTAGAACTAGAACTCCCGTGCTAATGAAACTTTAACCTTCCAAATTCTAAAATGCAGAAAAAGCTGATTTCTCTCTTCTGGAAAAATTTTGTACATGCAAGGCTTTAAATCATCTGAATGTTTCTCTGCTATTGATTAGCAATCCCAGGTGGATTCCAAATTATACATATTAAGACACATATCTCTGCCTCCTTCATAGGGCTCTGAGACATTTTCTTTTTATGCATTTTCAGTCTGGTGGCACAAGCTAGAAATGAATGGGGAACTCTCCTATAATACATGCCAGAATAAAATCTTGACCTCATGCTGTGGGTAGAATAAAACACATGCCCTGCCCTTCCTGTTTCTGGAGTGGTAGCCCAGAGCACACTTTTATAACTTTGGTTAAACCCTTACTTATTTATTTATTTATTTATTTATTGGACTTATATACCGCCCCATAGCGCTACAAGCACTCTCCGGGCGGTTTACAATTTTTTTTTATTATACAGGCTACACATTGCCCCCCCAGCAAGCTGGGTACTCATTTTACCGACCTCGGAAGGATGGAAGGCTGAGTCGACCTTGAGCCGGCTACCTGGTCCTGCCCTTCCTATTTCTGGAGTGGTAGCCCAGAGCACGCTTTTATAACTTTGCTTAAACCCTTACTTAGGTGGGTGTCCAGGGTGAGGCTTGTTAAGGAATGGAAAGGCTGAAAGAGAGACTCACAGAAATCTCATCAGTAATATTTTGCATTTGTGGGTGTCCAGGGTGAGGCTGTTAAGGAATGGAAAGGCTGAAAGAGAGATTCACTGAAATCTCATCAGTAATATTTTGCATTTGTAACCATGCTTTATGTGTTAAAAGAGAGTGATTTACTACTAAGTTATCATAGAACATCGCTCTATATCATGAATGGGATGGATAGCGCCAACGCATGAAACAGTTCGCTTCTTGGACACATCTTTCAAACTCCTATGCCAGTTGTAGTCCAAATCAGTAATTTTTCAAAGCTCAGGCTGGGTTGTGGAGGCTGAAGGAAAACAAACTAATATTAGAAGTGAGACCAAAAGTGGCTGTAGTAACATGTAATCTCATCTCTTAAGCTGTGGCTAGATGGTCAAATACAGCAGGATTTCCTCTGCTTATAAAACAGGCAGATTCAAAGTATTTTTACTGACCATACAATGCAAAGGCTAACTCGAATTGGTCCAGTCCTTTTTTGCTCCTTAAGAGGCCTTTTCTCTCTGCTGCTGTGGGTTCTTTTCCACTTGTTCAAGTTGGAATGATTCAAATGGCCTTTCCCCCTGTATGATTAGTTGTGATACATTTCTATAAGAATGGGAGGGTATGTTTATATAAGTGGTATTTTGGTGACGTTGGCTCTTGTGGTATGATGTTCAGTACTGGGGGGGGCATGCCCCAGCCTTCTTTTCTGTCCCCCAATTATCTTCTGAATTGTTTTTTTTTAAAAAAAATCCTTACATATATGAGATTTATTTATTTATTTATTTATTTATTATTTATTTATTTATTTATTTATTTATTTATTCAATTCATTTCATTTATATCCTGCCTATCTAGTCAATTGTGACCACTAGATTGTCCTTTCACCTTTTTGTTGGGTCCTTCTTGGATTTCCGATATTATTTCCAATATCTCCATACACCATAAAAGGATGAGCATAGGTGGGACCAGTGGAAGGAAGGAGAAAAGGTAGGGCTGTGGGCAGGAATGTAAACTGCATCACATCCAGTATGAACAGTGAACCCCTGATCAATTCACAGTCCCTGTGTGAGCACTGACTGCAATTTCAAATGTAATACAGACTGCAAATCAAATTGCTCTGGTCTGGTTTTCCAGTGTAGTCGCACCTCTGTCAGGTTAATGTTATTGCCTTTGTATGTTGTCAAGTTATTTCTGACTTTAATAATAGGGTTTTTGAGGCATGTGAGATGTTCAAAGTGTAGTTCACAACTGCCACCCCACTCCATCCCTCCGAGTTTCTGTGTCCAAATAGGGATCTGAATCCAGGGCTCCTGAGTCCTAGTACAACATTCTATCTGCTATATCTCTGGAGATACTTCAGTGTTATTGTGCCCCACATTGCAGATGGGTGGACTGAGGTTGAGTAAGAAAGTCTTGCTTAAGGCTAACTAATTACAGAACTCCAGTAATGGTTCCATATATTTTATGCAAGCACAGTAAGCAAGATGCTACAAGCAAAAACCAAAAGATGAGGGGGGCAAACAAACAATTATAACTATGAAACTGGACAACAGAGCAGCACCAAATTTAGCATGGATGTAGCAGGAAGTCTGCTCTTGCTTTGTGCCAAATTTGGGGACATTTGGGCAAAAGGGTTCTGAAACGTGAGGGTTTATTTTAAAATAACAGCATTTTACCCCCACCTCTGCCAGTTTCAGCATAGAATCTACAGTACTCTCTTATAGAGTTAAAATTCTACTAATAAAAACAGTCGTCCTGTGCTTTCTGTTTCATCAATTTAAAAATTCAGTTTGAAAAACAGCAGTATTCTTGCATGAACACCAAATCGGTTGAGTCAAATATTTTGACTCGAGCTTCAAGAATCCCCACTCAACACAGCCAATGGTAGAAAATTACAGATATAATTCCAATACACACGAGAGCCAAAAGCCTCCCACCCCTGAACTAACTAATACATATAACATTAATCTTTGTGCCAATGACTTGGCCATGAAATATCTCATAACCTCTTGGCATACTGCACTTCTAAGGGTGTTTCAAGTGACATGATCCCTGGGAAGAATTAGTTGATGGTCAAGCCAAAGAAAGATGAATGGTATCCATTTATGGGTATTTCTTGAGAAACACAAAATTTCTGATTCTTTGAATGTATTTTATAACGGAATAGCAACCTCTGAGAGATGGGAACCCTTGTTTCCCACCCACCCTCAGTGTTTGCTGGGCTGCACCACAGCCTCTCCATTTTTCGCATCTCCCAGAAATCTTGGGAGAACCATTTACCATTTAAAGGCAACACATACACCCTAACAAGAAGTGACAGGCTGGTCACTTCAAGTTTAAAGTTAAAAAATTAGTTAAAAAGACTAACTCTGGTGCAATGGGGGTGGGGGACACACACTGGGGCCTGAGAGACTGAGAAAAGGGCCTCCTGGAAGATTTTGAAAAGTGGATGAGTTGAGTGTCATCAGCACACTAGAGGTACCAGATCACACAATTCTGGACAGCGAAAAGTGGACGAGTTGAGTGTCATCAGCACACTGGAGGTACCAGATCACACAATTCTGGACAGCCTCTTCTAGGTTTTTAATGTATGTGTGAAATAGTATGGGGAATCATGGAACCCTGAGACACTCCACAGGCTAATAGTCAAGATGGTGAACAGGAGACCCTCAGTACCACTACCATTCACAAAGTGACATCACGCAAGGGAAAATCCCAGAAGCGGACTCCTTTTTTTCCTCAGTTCATCACTTCTCACCCAAACACAAAACAGTTGTCAGGCCTGTTCTTCAACAAGTGTGAATGGTAGTGAGCAGAAAAGGGAATCCTGTAGACCACCTTGACTGTTGCCACTGGTGTTGTCAACATTCAGACTGTCCTTTGCTATATAAAGTTTGCCATCCTTTTTCCTCCTCGCAACGTAGGCATGATATTTTGCAGCAATATCAGGCCATTTCCTGGCTTTCTGAATCATGGGTACATAAGCACAACATCCTACATTCATAAACCAGAGGGTTGTGTTTTTTCAAAGAATTGAATTAATTTATGGCATGTGTGGAATTCAAACTAGGGACTTCCTTATTCATAGCTTAGGTTTTTAGCTACTGCAGTAAGGATTACTTTAAGGTGCACACCTGTGCAAGCATGCATGACACTACCCCCCTCCACTCAGCCTTCCTCCCCCTCTGCGCATTAACAGTGATTGTTTTCAGCCCCTTTGGTTCTAATTGCAACAGAACCCAACACGGGGGTGGGGGGGTGTAATCATGTGCACAAGGGGGGGCTGAAAATTAGAAGGAATGTTGTGTTGCACAATGCCAGTGTATATTTGCATGCCCATTGAACAGCAATCTTGTCAGGCCTCTAGAAGCATTGTGAAGCAGTGATGCATCCAAGCAAAGCTGAGAATTGTGTGACGCCCAAGGATGCCTGAATGGAAATTTTAAAAAGCAAGCTGGGAGATGTAAAATAAAATTGAACAGCTGAGAGGAAGGGAGTTTGCTCTTCTTCTAGAAAACTTACTGCATAAATGGTGTTTTCAAGTGTCACCTAGTCAACATTTGCAGTGGTTTACAAAAGCATGATGCCCGATACAGAAAAGAACTTGATTACCAAGCCAAAACTGAAATGGATTAGAAAAGACAGAGACTAGGCCCAAAGCAAGTCTGAAATATATTTTTCAAGATTGACCTGTCTTCATGAGTATAATCAGCCAATGTCTGTATAGTACTTTATACCATAAAAGGCCAGAAAACATACCATCCTTAAAAAAAAAGAATAAGTAATGATAGAGTAAAAGTTCTGTTTCTATGTTAATGTTAAACATTTCAGTTAATGTATTGCTCAGTGTGGTTGCTGTCGGTATTTGGCAGATACTCAGTTTAATACAGTACATGCTGGAACACATCCCAGAGCACTGTGCATCAGGGGTGGGCAGAAGGTTGATCAAAATTAGTGACAGCTTTCCAGATGAGTTGAAGAAGATAGCAAACCCCCCCCCCCAATGGTTTAACAACAGTGGCAACCAAAGGTGGTGTTTGTTTTTTGTTTTACATTGTAACTCTCCTTGCTAGTTTAAGCTACTGAAATAAAAAATCTGGGGACTGGGTGGGAAATAGGATTAGATCTCTGGGTGAAAAGATTTGTGTGCAACCTCCAGTTCTGGTGCTAAAAAGAAATTCCAGGGCTCAACATGTGCTCAAAAGTACTTTGTTCTGCAATTCAGTTTGTACTTCTTGAGTCACGATTTTGCACCTTAAGGACTTTGTGGCACAGTGGTTAAACTGCAGTACTGTAGTCAAAGTTCTGCTCATGAACTGAGTTCGATCCCAGCGGGCTTATGTAGCTGCCCCAAGGTTGCCTTCCATGCTTCTGAGCTCTTGTGTGTGTGTGTGTGTGTGTGTGTGTAATATGTCACTTTTATAATTAAATTGTTAAACAGCCAGAGAATGATTGCAGCACACTTTGCTAACTCAAATAGGTTGACTTCCAAATGCACTGATCATTTTAACATCTTAAAAATTCCTGAATAAAGCAGTTTAAAGCCTGCTTGCCGCTGCTCTTCAGAACTGTCCCATCTCAGAGAATACATAGAATTTGACTTATATATATGTGTGTGTGTGTTCACCCTGAACCAGCTTTTACAGTGACACACACACACACACACACCCAGCTCGGTTCAGGACCTCATATTTTGACCAAGGAGGTCAGAAGGACACTCCCGTTCCAATCCACACACCGTTTAAGAGCCATTCATTTGAGGGAAGAAGCGAAGAAAACATGGCATGTTAATCATATGCTGTATGTGATTCAAGGCATGGCCCATAAAGATCCAATAATATAACATCCTTTGGTATTTGACATACTCCTGTTATATTGTTCTAATATTTGGATACTAAATACTGCTATTATGTCTGTGAGCAAATTGAAAACTCACCCAGGATTCTTTTTGAAAAAATTAGGTCAGTGCCTTATTTATTATCCACATTCACATACAGTAGCAGGCCAGTTTCTGATAAAGTTGTTTTCCAGTCAGTTGGGACACTTTATGTTAGGTGTGTGGTGCTGATGTAATTCACATCTGCAATTATTTAGATCTGCAACAACAACTAATACTGATATTCTGAATTGCTTGGTAAGTTATGTCTGCTTGATCTGAATCTCTCTCTCTCTCTCTCTTTCCCTTCTTCTTTTCCTATTATATTTTCCTTCCCACTTTCCATGCTCCTGTTCCCTAAATGCTTCCTTCTCCCACGCTTGCCCCTCAGAACTAGATGGGGAGACAATAGTTGAATCTGATGAAGGTAAGGAGGGGCTGGTTTTCATTTTGATACTGAACTATTTGGACAAAAATGTGGCCATTTTTGTGAAGGACACTTGGCAGGATACTTGTATGGCTTGCTGTCTTTGGTCAGAGAGCTGGAGGAAGCGGTCTGTCTCTCAAAAGTTTTCACTACACTACTGTTTGCCCAAGAGGTGTTATACATGAGAACTAATTTCTAAGTAAATAAATGTGTACAGCAAAATTGGCAGGGTGGTGATTACTCTTTTAGGAATGACACTTGCAGCCTCCTTAGGTGGAAAGATGTTGATGTGCAAGCACCAGGCCGTTTTTTTCTCCTTTAAAATTTATCGGAGACTTCTAACTGACCTGAATTTTTATTAAAATGGTATAATTTCCTGCAGTGAAGATGGCACTTTTGGAGACTGTATTTTGTCCTTAATTGATTAAGATTCAGCATCACAGCCTATAAAAATGCAAAATGTGAAAGAAATACTGAGTTTAGTAGGGCTTGTTCCTCAGTAAAGATATTGAGGATTACAACCTCAGGCTGTAATGTGATTGTCATGTTAGTGTGCATTGTGCTTCACATTGCCTGTCACCTGGTACTTGTGTTTACTTACGTTACCACTTATGAACTGCTGGATAGCTCAGTGGTTTAGGTATCAGAGGTTGGGAGTTCAATCCCCCACTGTGCCTTCTTGGCAAGAGCTGGACTTGAAGACCCATAGTGTCCCTTCCAACTCTGCAGTTCTAAGACTGGCATGGCCACAGGGGCTGGGAGACCCTGGAAGCTGTAGTCCGAAAAAGAGTAGCTTTTTCCAAGCTCTGATTTTTCATACTGAACATGTCCTCAAGCTTCCTTCCTCAAAAGAGCAACAACAATGGGAAGGAAAATCTCCTTTCTTCCCCAGGAGTCTTCGGCAGCTCCATTTGGTAAAAATATATTAACAATTGTGTGTGTGAGGTGGGTGGGGAGAGAGGAGAGTAAATGCTATAACTCAGCTTCCTATTTAGTTTGACATCCAGGAATTCATTTTCTCCTGCCCAAGTGTGCATTTTAGTTACTGCTACATAGATTAAGCAGACGTTTTGCATTCTTAACAGTCCCTGAGAGCTGTGCTGCTACCGACCTTAAGAGAGTGAGAACGAGCAGAGCGCCAAAGAGGGAGGTCACAAGTTTAAGATGCTGTTTAGGACAGAGCCCAGCTGGGGTACATTTCAGTCTTTTGGAGGGCTCCACCACTTTTAGAGATCTCAAGTGAACCCAAGTGGAATCCTAAACATTCCCTATACAGGAAACAGACTTCGATCTAGGCAAGGAATGTCAGCCTGAGACAAAAAAATTCAAGACAGGATGTTTATGGAAACCAGAAATGGTGGGGGACAGGGCTCGATTACTGGCTATGGGTTTCTGAGAACTGTAGTCCAGTAAAGTAACTTTTCCCATCTCTGATGGAGACTGTTCAGCCATCTTGGTCAAGTCTATTGGAAGTGTGACAACAGACTAGTGATTTGCCATGCACTGAGTGGAGTTAGAACACTTATTTGGAAAAGCCAATTTAGGAGACACCACATCCAAGTTGCATCAGAATTGCTTAGTCATTCTAAACCTAAGTCCCTAATCTCAGAAGCCCAGGAATTCTAGTCCTTCTTTAAGTAATGGGGTTTACCCCCCAAAAAGGGAATTCTCACAATTTTCAGAAAACTAGAATTCTCAGGTTGAAATACACCATTGCAGTCATTCCCAAATTGTGCCAAACTTGTTAAGTATAGGGTTAGGTCTAGGGAGTGAAGCTGCTAGATTAGAGCAGAATTCAGAGACTGGGAATAGTTTGCAGGATTTAATGATCTCTTTTCCTCCCTCCTTCAGCCCCATTTGGACTCTATTTGCAAATCTCCCCCTTTTCCCTTAGATTAGCTAAAGTCAACACTGGGATTGCATCGTACATGCAGTAGAGCTAACCTTGGTTAATGCTAACCCTTCTTGGCAGTAGTATAGATATAATGCTTTATTTTACAATGCTGAAAGGGGAAGAGGGTGAGAGATTTGCATACAAGAGAAAGGACAGGTAGCACCCAAGCCTGTGTTATAATCTTTTTAACCAGGGCTATGGCTTTACTGTATATTGTATTCAAATGGCAGAAGACTGATGGCTCCTTTCTTCTCTGTGCTTGTTGAGTGCAGGCGGGAAGATCAACCCTTACAAATGTCCCTTCCCATAAGGGCACAGCCAGAATGCAATCCAAACGTTCCATGGCTTCTTTTAGCATTTGGACTCTGGTAATGTCATACCAGCAGCTGTGCTAGTATGTGCTGTATTTTAAGTGCCACTAGTACTATAGGAAGACATGTATGAAACACAGTCATCAAATTTTAGATGGCAAAAATAAAAACAACTACATGACTCTGGGTTCCTACTCGAAGGTTCTAGAAATAAGGAAAGCTTGTGAAGTTAACGTCATTAATGACTCTCTGGGTTCCTACTTGAAGGTTCTAGAAATAAGACTGAAGGAAAGCTTGTGAAGTTAACGTCATTAACAAGAAATAAAATAGTTATTTCTAGTTACATGACCCCATAACTGTATCTCACATTTCTCTCTCTTCATTCTTCTGTACCACACAACAAACTGTTCACTTGTTTAACATGAATACAGAGAGGATATTTTTAGATAGCTTTTGAGACAGACCCGGACTTGGAACTTTACCCAGTAATTCTTGCATGGGCTCCAAGAGTAAAATCTCTATTCTGTTCAGCATTTGCAAGTGGTTTACTAGTGCTAATTTTTCAGTATCACTCAGATAATCTGCACACAGCCAGAGATCAGAATTTAGCACATACATAAATCTGAATGAGATCTGGGCCAGGAGGGTTGCATGAAAGTGGGAATCCAGAGGAGATTTGGAAAAACACACAGAAAGAAGGGGGGAAAATACCCTAAACTAATAGCAGCTCACTCTTTTTTCCTGTATGTCAGGAGGAGAAAAAGTAGGCAAAGTACAGTCTCTTCACAGTCCCTCCCGGAGTTGGGCAATGGTACAATACAGTAACATGGCTGAGTTCTGGCATCTCTTTCTGTCCTGCTATTGCTGCTACCCTGCATCTCTCAAACCTCCTGGGCTTGGAAGAAGGAGATGCCTTTTTCTTTGCCTTACTTTGCCTTTACCTCTTGAACTGAAGTTCTCCATTTTACTGGCAATTTCTCATTACTGCCTTTAACATGTATCTCCTGGATGCACAGCTGTGATATTTTTAGTCATGGGAGAGGAGCAGGAGGTGTGTAGTGCTATAATAGCTAGTAATTGCTTTCAGTAGCATAATACAGCTTATTGCACATGTCGTAAGTCTCCTGAGACACCACTTAGGGCACCAGGATAGCCCAGGATCCACAGCCTCCCTTGGTTTGGCTGGGATACTCATTCTGGGCTTTTGCTTCATGGAATGTTCAGTATGAAGAGGGCAAACCAGCCTTGTTGATCAAAATTTAATTCCTTTCCGTCCTGCCTCTCTCCCCCACCCTTAGTGGGCTTGGTTGGTTGAGAAAAACAACTTTGGCCATAACAGGACAGGGCTTGTCCACCAGCTTTGTCTTGCCAGTTCTGAAATCCTCCTTTTAACTTCATAAAACTGAGCCCATATTTCACTGACTTCTGGCTGAAAAGTGTTGGAGAGATTCCCACAACCAACAGCTTATACACATTTTAACCAGGCTGTTGCAAGTCTGAATCCCAAACTAAATGATTTAGTTAGCTTGTCATTACAAATAAGGTTTCCTTAAGAGGTAGAAAATGTCTGTTTATCCTGCTGCATTCCTTAAGAGGTAAGAATGTACCAGTGGGCAATCTGTAGAACAAGCTGTTGCAAATCAGCTTGCTTTAATTTGGTGTTTGGTCATTGGGAAGTATACACAGCCTTGATTTTTCAGCCTGAAGAGAAAAAAAAACACCACCTAAGTTTGGAACTGCCCACAAGAACGTTTTTTCAGCCTGAAGAGAAAAAAAACAGCACCTAAGTTTGGAACTGCCCACAAGAACGTGATACACAGTCTTGAAGAAGATGATTTATCATCAAAAGCTTGCTCTTTTGCTTATATTCTTAATGGTTGATTAAAGGTGTCACCTGCGCCTGCATTTGTAGTACAACAGCAATAAATACATATTTTCGGTCATTTGTGATTTGGCCCACAGAAGAAGAGTTCCTGATTACCTCAGTCACCTTGCCCATATGTTGGATTCCAGGAACTTGGCTATTAATTGGTCTTTCAGGGGTATATTAGAGTATTTTACAATGATGGGTCCAAAACAGTTTTGTGGCAGGATGTTGGAAGGAGAATGTCTTGTGTAACATAAATTTTTGCTGAAGGCCAAGGTCACCATAAAAATTAGTATATGAAGCAGTTTTCTGGTTCATTTGGATGTGGCAAAAACACACTACATGTAGAATACTTGTATTTTTTGAAAAAAGCTTTTTACTGAATATTTTAATCTTCAAAGAACATATGTTCTGCAGAATTAATCCTAGAGTTCAGAATAGCATACTGTCTCTTGCAGTAGATACAGGGCCAAGAAGCAGTCACATTTCTGCCGTCCTGTTAAGAGACAGATTACAGAAGATCCATCCACTGGACGATACAACAATGGATCAAGTAATTTTTAGATTACTACTTACAGAAATACTCAAAGAAGGCCAAAGTTCTGTATTCTGTATTTTGATCATTTATATGCAGCTTTAAGCTCCATCTTAGAGAAGGAGAATGCCTAGAATCTTGATATGTTTAACTCATTGTCATACTTCTCTTGATGTTCGATCCTCTAATCAGGGGGAGGCACTGCTGGGAGGCAGTGCTGAAGTTACATTGGTGGGCTTGCATTGCCACTCTGGTTTCATCACATATAACTTGGGCTCACTCTGCATTAAGAGAATATTTGGGCTTGAGAGCTAAATCAGCAGCACACATTTAGTAGAGAGTTGGTGGGGAAAGGAAGGGTGGGAGAGGTGTGGTGTAGGACTTGGTTGCCTCCAAGATCCTAAGAGAAACAAGGGGAATTGGTGGTTTCGTTTATTTTTTTTAAAAAAAATATGAAAACAATGTACCTGTCCTAAGCAAGTGAGGAAGGGAAGAAGCCACTGTTCTGATGTTCAAACAAGAGTATATAGATGCAGTGCAGCTGAAAGCATAAGAATACACTAGTAGCTTTCAGGGATTGCATAGGACTCACAAATAAAACTTTGGAGCTTTGCTATCCCCTCCCCCGCTCATTTTTTGTCTTTTACATCATAATGGGTTGAGTTGCTTCAGAGTTCCTCAAACAGTTTCAAGTGCTTATGCTGAAGAGGACAGCCACAAAGTTGCTGAAGTTTTTGGAGCACAAAAACCATATAATAACTGTTGGAATGTTCAGTATTGAGAAATCCGCACAGGAAGCAGATGACCATTCACAAATATGGTGTTTTTTTTTTTCAATCAAAAAGCTGTTTTTTATATATAAAGAAATACGTTCTTTGTGGTAACTTTGGGCAGGACGAGAGGAAATGCTCCTAAATTGGATGGGAATAGCCTGAAATTAAAATTCCGGAGCAACACAAGCAGTGATGTATTTTTTTTTTCCTGTTGATAGTAACTATGACATTAACTGGGTTGTGAAAGAAGTTCCCAAAAGAAGATGTAGCACTGCATTTAAGAAAAGTTTTCTTGCGGTTGGGTGAAGTAGAGTACAGGGAAGAAAAATTGGTATTTGTAATGCAAGCTTTTATCAGTGATTACTGGAGTTTACTTATTCATGGTTCATCTGAACAAATTCTTCTGGATGCAGTACATCCTGATTGGCAGTTATGTACTGACATAGAAGATGAGGCATGTAGCTGAGCCCATCTGCAGGTACAGCCCCACCAGCCTTACGTCCATGAGAATCTTGACAACTCTATCCCTTTGTGAACTGGGTTGCATGTTCCGTAAATAGCTCTGTCTAGGATCAGCTAGGAACGCACTGTGGATAGGAGAGTTTGGCTATGTAGACTAACCCTTCGGCTGCACAATAACAGCATGGGAAGAAAGACTCATAAAGGCCTCAATGGCTCTTTCAATCATTTCTTGGCTATGGGGGGTGGCGGCGGCAAACCTTCTCTGTCTCCCATGTTAAGCTGATGGATGCCTGACATCTGGAGAGTAAATCAACTGACTTCTGTAATTTGAACTGTCTGCTGCATTTTATGAATTTTCCTGTAAGATGTTCATGACCAAATATTGTAAAGAATGCAGCATTTGAGTTTGATTTTTTTTTAAAAGGTAAATAAAATTAAGAAATGTTAATCAGCAGCATGTTAGTGGCCAAAACAAGGCATCCTAGTCTCCAAGCTTCAAGGCAAGGCAACTCAGTCAAATTTCTTTCTCCTCTTCAATTCAGAGCCCCGGAGCTACGTGGAATCGGTGGCCCGTTCGGCAGCAGGTGGAGGTGGAAGCAGCGCCTTTGGGAAGCCTCAGACAGCCCCAGCTCCCCAGGCCTACAACATTGAGGCACCAGGGAAGAGTGGATCTTTTGCCAACTCCTTCACCTCTCCAAGCCCTGTTGCTTCCAGCAGCCCCATGCACAGCACCGATGGGTAAGGAAGGGTAGATGTAAGGCAGCCACTTCAGCAGGTGGGTTAGACAGGAAAGGCTGCTTGAAATCTTCAGAATTTCTCCACTGCAGTTCACAGAGTAACTGTGGCTCCTTTACTTACCCTCATAATGACTCTGACACAGGATGCTGAAAGACGTCCCACTCACTCCCATGTTTTTGGCATCAGAAAGATTTATCTTGTAAAGAGCTGGCCATTGCCTGAATATTGTTTATGGTGTGTGTGAGTAAGGGAAACTCAAGTAAACAATGGAATGTCCCAGTTTTCGTCCAAGTGGAAATTAGCTGTTGAGTTTCAGGAAGGTGAGCAAGTGCTTATCAATTACTTTCATCCATATTTTCACAAACATAACAGAAAAGCAAATTCTTGGCACATTTATGCTTATCAATTACCGTACTTTCATCCATATTTTCACAAATATAACAGAAAAGCAAATTCTTGGCACATTTGAAAGAACTGTACATTTTTTGTCCCCATTTTGTTATCACATCATTCATCCAGAGCATTCTATCAAGATTTTATGTTTTGTCACATTTTGTGCTGTTCCTAAGCTTTCAATTTGTTGACTATGGTGGATGCTCTTCCTTATGCAAGTCTATGATACCATATCCCCGTGTGTATGGAACATTTTGCTCTCTTAGTTTCCCTACTGCCCTTTCTCCCTCATAATTTTCTCTTTTCCTGTGTTCCCGGTAGCTGTTAGGCACTTGAGATGGCAGGCGTGCACAGGATAACTGTGCAGTGGCTTGCATTAGATGTTAGCAAAGGGGTGTGTGTGAGTGTTCTTTTTTCTTGTTAGGATTTTGGATAGAGGCTGTAACTGCTGGCACATTTTGACAACATGCTGTCATCTGTCCCCTGACATTTCTCCCCACACAGAGGTCATACTCCCAGCTTCTTGTGAAATATTTTTCCTTCCAAAAAGTTTGCATTCGTAGAGTCATAGGGCGTGATTACAAACTGTGAAGTTACAAGACGCAGCCAAAATGACAGGCTGATACAAAATGACTCACAGCCACTCAAAGTTTGTTTCAGGAAGAAAGGAACACAAATATCAACATTCCTGAGAGCAAATAAACACTGTCATGTATCTGACTGTATATCAAAGGTAGAAGCCTGGTTGTTTTTATGATGACATTGTAGAACAGGGCTAGTTCCAAGAGACCAGACTAGATGACATCGGAGGATGGGCCCCAATAACCCTCCACTCTCCCTGGAGTCATTAAGCCTGACTCCCTTCCATGACATCTCTTTTCCTTTCTTTCTGCAAAGAGTGCTCTGTGCCTACCTCTGCCCAGAGACAGAGACTCAGCTAGAGTTTGCAAGGCGAGCTGCAACTGAAGGAACCTTTTTTCCAAATGCTGTCTGAGTTGCATTGCTGGAGAATATATGTTGTGACCCAAGCAGTAACTGGAGACAACCACGAGGACCCCTCTCCCTGGGCTAGAGCTAGGACAGGCAAAAGGGCCTGTAAAAATAGAGGAATTTGAAAGGAAACCGTTGCAGGACAGAGGTTCCCCTTCCAGGGGTGAACAACACTGTAACTTGGGGCAGTGCTGGGTCACCTGTTTCTGCTACTTTCCCCAACGTTGATTTGTTGAGGGTAGTGTGGCAGAATGGGCAGGGGCAGAAGTAGAAGTTGGTAGGGCCAACTCTTTCTGCTCTCCTTTCTTTCTTCCACCTGTCGTCTCCTCCAATTGTCCCTTACAGATCAGGCTGCTAGAGAAGAGACACAGATAACTCCTATAATCATCAATTATAGAGCACTTCTAAGAGATGGCTATAGGTTGCGGGTGACATACCCCTCACTTAGGGCTATATGGGGGTTTATAGTGAAGTTTAAATAAGGAAGATTTTGATGTGCTAGATGGTTTGATAATGAGCATAACAGGTCCTAATGGCTTCCTCCAGGATCTCCATAGGCAGCTACCCATCAGAGAATAGCACCAGCGTAGCCGTACCGTCTCAGAACTCTGCCGAGTCCAGCTTCCAGTCTACTAACCTTTCTCAGGGGCCGTCGCCACACAGCAGCTACCAAAATACATCTTTGTCCACTCAGGGTCTCCCAACCTCTATGAATCCTGACTTCCCAGATGGCCAAAGCAGCACCCAACAAGAAAGCCACCCAAGGTCTCAAGTCATTGCAGGTGGGGTCCATGTCATGCCAGGGAGCCCCCACTCTCTCCACAGAACAGTAGCCACAAATACTCCTCCTAGCCCAGGAGTTGGGCGAAGAGCTGTCAATACCAACATTGTGGCCACCCCAGGAAGCCCAGGTATGAGCAGACATTTAATGGGTCTGCACAGCAACCTTGTTGCACCACCTGGGAGTCCAAACCTTTCTCGGCATCAGCCTGTAATCGGAGGCAGTATGACGATGGTCTCTGGAAGTCCCAACTTGGATCGTCACATATATGGTTACTCAACTCCAGAGGAGAAGCGTCCAACCCTGTCCCGCCAAAGCAGTGCCTCAGGTTATCAAGCTCCCTCTACCCCATCTTTTCCTGTCTCCCCAGCTTACTATCCTGGAGTAAGCAGCCCACATTCTTCTTCCCCTGACTCAGCAATCTACAGGCAGGGCAGCCCCACTCCACCCCAACCACAGCTTCCAGAGAAAAGAAGGATGTCGACAGGGGACCGGTCAAACAGCCTGCCTAACTATGCCACGGTGAATGGCAAGACCTCATCACCCATCTCCAGTGGCATGTCTAGTCCCAGCAGTGGGAGTGGCATGGCCTTTCATCATACTCTGCCAGATTTCTCCAAATTCTCCATGCCAGGTGAGACCTCACTTCCTTATCTTGTTATCAGTGACTTGAGTCAGGATTATGGAGTGGGGGGACACATATCTACCCCACCCCTTCTTTCTGCTTGTTGTGACTCAGTGCTTGAGAGATGAGGCTTTGATTATCATCAAGAATGTCTCTGAATCAGCCAACTTTTGCACTGCATCCTCCAGCCACCTATGTCCTAGTATCCAGGGCTGAGCATGTGTATAGTGCTTTTTAAAATGTAGTTGAGCCACCATAGGTCTACCATAGGGCCAATTGTTCCCTGTGCTTGCTTTTAAAAATTCTATGTTAACACTACCAACAGTGTACCAGGGCTATTTGCAAAATAGCATAATGAAAAGCCTACATTCTGGCCCCAAGAAATTTACAGCCTTAATTTAGACAGAGATGGCAGGAGCAATGGTTGTAAAGAGATGAGGGTGACTGAAAATGAGTAAATGTGAATTTCATTCCAGCTTTTTAAATCTATCACACAGTTCTATATATATTTACAATTTTATTCATCTGTGTCAAGTAAGATAAAGAAGCTGTCTTACAAAATGTGGTGATGATTCTACTTTTCACTAGTAATTCCAACCTAAAAAAATGTTGTTGTGATGAGACCAAGACTTTCCTTACCCAAATGCTTCATCTTCTTTCTTGCTTGTTTTCCTCTGTCCCTTAGACAGCAGCCCCGAGACCAGAGCTAATGTGAAGTTTGTCCAGGATACCTCCAAGTACTGGTACAAGCCAGAGATTTCCAGGGAGCAAGGTGAGTTTTTATCCAGAATCAGGTGGCTTAACAAACAGGTGGTGACAATGAGCGATTCAAGTATTTATCTTATTTCCTTTGGTTGCTAGGGTCCAAAACAGCAGGAAAATAACAGGTCCTAATGGATTTAATTTTTTCCTGGAGCTTCCATTGTGACAGAACTTAGGATATCTTCTTGGCAAGGCTGAGGAAAGCTGCATTTTTAGATTATAGTTCTTAGTATCTCCCCTCAGCATGACCAATCGCCTTGCTAACTGGGGATTGATGAGATTTTAAATCCAAAAACGTACCTCTTCAGTCCTCTGTTTCTCTCTAGGGTGCTTTTTTATTCCACAGCAGCCAGGGGTAGTTAGGTAAAGGTTCCCCTTGACAATTTGTTTTGTCCAGTCGTGTTCAACTGTAGGGGGCGGTGCTTATCCCCGTTTCCAAGCCATAGAGCCAGAGTTTGTCCGAAGACGATCTTCTGCGGTCACATGGCCAGTGCGACTCAGACACGGAATGCTGTTACCTTCCCACCGAGGTGGTCCGTATTTATCTACTTGCATTTGCATGCTTTCGAACAGCTAGGTTGGCGGGAGCTGGGACAAGCGACGGGCGCTCACTCCGTCACGTGGATTCGATCTTACAGCTGAAGATCTACAGACCTTACAGCACAGAGGCTTCTGCGGTTTAACTCGCAGCGCCAGTGTTACCAATGACCAATTATCACTTCATATGGTAACACTGTCTTTATGCCTTTGCAAAATGATATGGAAAACCACGGTACCTCAAGCTGATGGTGCTTGTCCACAGGATAATTTGGTTGTTTATATGGAATCTTTGCCATTAGTGATGTTGGGATGCCCACTTCCCATCAGTCTTTAGAAATGTTTCGGACTAATGAAATTGATTTCTCTAATACCCAAATGTATCAGGAAACTTAGTATAGATTATGTGTTCAGTCTACATCAAACTCCCTAAATTCACCTTTTGCAAATTTTTCACCCCCAGATATTCGTGGACTATGACTCTCATTATCCCCTACCATTGGCTATGTTAGGTGGGGATAGTGGAGGTTGTAGTCCAGTATCATCTAAGCGATGCAGATTTGTGAAACGGTGTCTTAGCAGTGATGGTTACTGGTGTGATGATTACAGCACAAGTGCATTTTCCTTGTCGTTTATGGAAAATAGTTGATTTAGATTCTCATTCACCTTTGAACAAGGTTCTCTTGCCCTTACCTCACTGTCTTTTCAGCCTTTAGACTAAACAGTTGCGGCTCCTTCAACATTTCATCATAGAGCTGGTATTTCAAAACCCCAGCCTTCTTTGTTTCTCGTCTCTGAACCCTAGCCAGTTTGACAGTATTAAAAATAAAGCACAATTAAGTAGCTTAATCCTTTGAAGAATATATCCTTTCATGCGTGCGTCATTGTGCCAAGTTATTCCTTTTCCACTTGTGCCCAGTGGCTATTCTGAGTTGCAGTACGCACATCCGAAGATAGTGGATGGTAGGTACCTCTTCCTGTGGTCAGTGATGGGACATTTCGTCACACACCCTGCCTATTTCAGAGTCAATCCAATCTGACATCTACTACTGTTTGTTGTTGTTATGTGCCCACAAACTGCCTCCAGATTATGGCAACCCTATAAACTACGTGGCCTCTAACATTCTTAATATTAATAGCTCTTACAAACTTATGGCTGTAGCTGCCTTAATTGTCTCTCTATCTCATATTTGGTGGGGATGTGGTGGTGCTGTGGGCTAAACCTTAATATTAATAGCTCTTACAAACGTATGGCTATAGCTGCGTTAATTGTCACTCTATCTCATATTTGGCCCTCCTTTTTTCCTGCTGCCTTCAGATTTTCCTAGCATAATTGCATAGTATAACTTCTCCCATATAAAATAAAATTATATTAAACATACAATGTAAATATCAGGATCTGGTTCTGAGGCTATGATAAGAACTAGAAAATTAAAGTAGAACCATTTATAAAAATGGGAGAGTCCACAGACACTCTAGCGCTCACTTGAGTGCCTAACATTAACCTTTTGTTATTTGAGCCATTGTTTTTATTAATGTCTGTAGCAAATATCCCTCTTTTTCCCCTTTGCAGTCCTCAAAGCCATCTTATGCACACACTCCCACAGAAACACTCCATAGAGTAAGATGATGCCATATCTACTCATTGTACCCCTTCAGAAGCTTTTGAGGCAGCGCGGAATGAGCAGGAGGAAATTCAGGGAGAAGATTTTCTTCTGGGGCCCCTCCATAGTAGCGACACTGATAGAAAGCTGCTCAGTGAGTGAGGATAGTATCTCCCAAGTGCATAAGGAGAGTCACACTGAATCAAAGCAAAGATCTGCCTAGCCTACCATTCACCTTCAGGAATCCCCCATTCTAATCATGAGGGCAAAAAGCACTCTCCCCTCAAGCTCTTTCTCTCATGGACTAATGAATAACTTCCTATGTCTCTCTATTTGCTTGTTAGTTTATAATACATTATTTCAAAACTGCCTTTTAAAGCAAAGCCTCTCTGAGGCATTTGACAGAGTAAAAAAGTTAAAATTAGAACACATAACGGTACAGGTAATTAAAAGAGCATTTAACATAAAGGTTCTCCCATAGAATCACCAATAAAAGCAGGGCAATCAAGTAACCTCACATCTTCCTTCCTGAGTGGAACTGAATGCATGCTCAGCTTTTCTTTCCCCCTCCTTTTTGGGCAGCCAGTTTGCATTTGGTGTTGTAATGCTGCACCTGGACTTTAGCTTTGGCCCCTGGTTATGGGGGAGAGAAATTCAAAATGAGTTGTAGAGGGAGTGGATGGCAGTGTGAATTTCTAGCCAGCAATTAGAAGTGCTGGATAGCTCAGTGGTTTATGTATCTGGTCGGGAGTTCAGTTCCCCACTGTGCTTCCTTGACGGGGTGGACTCAATGATCTATAGGGTCCCTTCGAGCTCAGCATTTCTAAGATTGGTGTTGTTATTTCCCCACACTCTGAGCCTTCCATTGCTTGTATCATAATTGTTTTAGTTTCTGCATCTGCACAGACTTAACAGTTCATCCTCACCTCTGTGCAATTTCTCACCTCCGGAAGTAGACAGCACCTGTGGACCCACTGTTGACACATGGTAATAGGGGAGAGTCTACAGCCAGCAAAACAAACACCTACACTTCAGACCTCTCTGTTGACATGCACTCCCGTCATGTTGTTTGGCCTAAGAAGCAAGGGAAATACTCGCAGACAGAAAATAGCTTTAAGAGAGCATTATGCTATATTAAAATTATATATTTTCTTCTTTTAGTCATGGAGTACATGTGTACAGGCAATGGCACACAGATAAAAAAGGGTTGGACTGCACTGTTGAGGAAGTGGAGGCTCAGAGATTTTTTAAAAAATCTATCATAATGTGTTTCCAGCCATTCTTAACAAGGGGCCATATGTCCGCCCTCCCCCCCGAAGCTCTGGCACATTTGAAGGTGGCCACAGGCTGAAAAATGTGAAAAGGAGAGCACAAAAGGTTTATGGAGGAGTTGGTAACTGAACTGGGAGGGGGGCTGGAATCTGAGAATAGCTCCAAAAAGTGTCATGGCTGAAACAAAGTTGAGAATGACTGAGGACTACTGGTCAACTAGTAAAGATGAGCATAGATTCCAGAGCTTGGAAGAGCTGCTTGTTTGTACCACAGCCTCCAAGAAGCTGCAAGGAGCATGCTGGGAGTTGTAGTCTGGGAAAGGAGCATTCCCAGGCTCTGCAGTCTGTTCCCAGCTGGTGCTGATAAGGTGCCTGCCAGAAAATTGTAAGTGACCCCTTTAAAGGGCTTTGTTTATGTCTCTGTCAACAGCAATTTCTCTCACCCATCATCCAACAGCTGAGGCACTTGGCACACGAGTGCTGCAGATCCGTCCTTAATCCAAGAACATGTCCCTTCATTTCCTTCATATCTTCCCTTGCAAGAGTAAAATGACCGTGTCCCGAATGGAGGCTGACCCTGCCTCAGATCAGATTCTCAGGGAGAAAGGTGCTCTTGCCCCTCCTGCAGCTTTGCTCTTGCCTTAATTACATCACCCTTTACCATGTGGTAAAGGGGAATGAGACAACCAATGTCCCTAGAAGTTGTGGGTGGGCAGGGAGTGTCTTTGTCCTTTGCTCATGACATTGCTTGTGATCTCAATGACTTCACCACTGGCTCCAAGTACTGCTGTGTCCCAAGATAGAGTTTCCACTGCAGATTTCATCGCTCATTCATAGGCTGAGTCTCCAGAAATGTCTTGGGTGGGAGGCTGGTGGAGGAAACACCCTCAGAGCTGTCTGAATTATGCTATTCATAAATGAGGAAGCTGAGAAAAAAACAGAACTCTGTGCAGCTTATAAATTAGGTTAATACAAATAACTAAAGCTGCAGCCCTCCAAACCAGGTTACACAGCCTTGTTGGTTGCAAGGGCCACAACTGCTATCAACAGACTGAACATGCACAGAAAGGCCTCCATCTCCTGGCAATCTCCATTGGGATTGTTCTTTATCTGCTGCCATTTCTGGTGTATATATTACAGCTAGGGAAGAACAGATTGATTCCCTTTGTCCCATAGCCATAGACCCCAGAATGGGGCTATATACTGTAGATAGAAATATCCTAAGATCCAAACATGCTTCTGTTTGTAGCTTCCTCCTCCTCCTCCTCTGTTCATGTCAGAATCAATCCATTGGTGCTTCTGTTGTGAAAGGATTGGCTGACAGGGTGCTGTCACTGGCCAGGGGATACCTGAATGCGTTCTCAGTCCTCACATTCTTTGGGGAGGTCCCTTCTGTGTTCCCATGCTTACATCCTCAAAGATTATGTGGTTCTTGAAGCTTTCTGCATCCCTCCAGTTTTTCCCTAGGTGATTCAGTAAAGGGTTATCTTCTTAACAAAAAATGGACTTAACAGATCAGTTCTAAGCTGGATGCATGAATCCGTGGGTCCATCCATCACTGTTGGGAAAGCAAGAATGAAGTGAACTAGAATAAAGCTTCTCCTCCTCTTCTCCTCCTCCTCTTGCACACTTCATTACCTTACTACTTAGTAATTCCTTCATATTTCTAGGCTGAGTGTTCATTGTTATAAATGCATTTTTGTATCTATTTCTCCCCCAGCCATTGCATTGCTGAAGGATAAAGAACCTGGTGCTTTTATCATTCGGGACAGCCACTCCTTCCGGGGAGCCTATGGACTGGCCATGAAAGTTGCTTCTCCACCTCCTGGTGTTGTGCAACAGAGCAAGAAAGGTAAGGAGTTTGTGTTTGTCTAATAGCTTACCCCTCAAACACTGGAGATCTACTTGTTTTCCCTCACAAACACACAAGTTAGACATCCTTTTAATATCAGCTGGTATTTGGAGAATCTATAGAGGCTAGATTTGGTCTCTTTCTGTGGCCTAAATGATTAAGATGGCTCTTGAAACTTGCTGCATCTCTCCAGGCTTCCCCAAAATTATTCAGTGGAGGGATATCCTCTTAACAAAGGTTGTGACTACACAGCAAGGGAAAGTCATATTGGGGCATTTGGTTTTCTATTACACAAGCAGTCAGAAGCAGAGGAGGAAAAGCTTGTGCTTCCATTTTAAGTGCCTGTAGGTCTACAGTTCAAAGGAATCGCCTTACTGAGGCTTTCCTTCCTCCCAATCATTTCCCTATCTTATAACGCTGGTGAGAAAGTTCCTACTTTCCTGAAGCTGTTTAAAAATGCATAAGGATAAACAAGACCGTGGGGGCAGAGAGGGAACTGTTTTTTTTTAAGAAGTGTTAGATTATGGGACCAGAGACTTTGGTACTGATGTTGCTTTTATATATGCATGCAAGCTCTCTCCCCTTTTGCCCCCCTTTTCCTTCACACATACACCCCACTCCGCTCTCCTTCACTGCCCCCTCCTTCTCTTTTCTGCGCCTCGTGGCGCAGTGGTTAAATCGCTGTACTGCAGCTAAAACTGTGCTCACGACCTGGGGTTCAAATCCCAGGTAGCCGGCTCAAGGTTGACTCAGCCTTCCATCCTTCCGAGGTCGGTAAAATGAGTACCCAGCTCACTGGGGGGGGGCAATGTGTAGCCTGCATAATTAAATTGTAAACCGCCCAGAGAGTGCTTGAAGCGCTATGGGGCGGTATATAAGCAGCACGCTTTGCTTTTTCTCCTTGCTGGTGCATCTCCTTCTGTTCTTTCCCACCTTCTCCTCTATAGACAAGCCTCCCCTCCCATCTACACAGGAAAAAGCCCTTTTGAACCCATCCAACAAGAAAATAGTAGCCTCTAGCAAGGAGAGGAAAAAAGCCAGCATGCGAGCCAAAAGGGCTGGACAGATTCAATTTAGCTTTTGTATCATGCAGGCAGGAAAAAATTACTTTGAATTCACTTGAAGCAAATCCCAAGATATTTGATGGTGTAATCTATTAAGTAGATGCACTTAACAGGTCAGTTCCAAGTTGGATGCATGAATCCATGAGTCCATCCATCACTATTGACAAACCAGGAGTGAAGGGAACTGGAACAAAGCTTCTCCTCTTCTCCTCCTCCTTTGGCACATTTCAATATGTTGATTCAGCAGTATCTTGATGCCAGTTTCTGTGCCAGTTGTAATATGTCATGGTTAAAAGGGTCCAGCAAGTGTACCTTGCACTAATAGCAAGCCTCAAACCAGGCTCATAGAATAAAGACATAGATCAGAGACTCAATCCAGAAACAGGAGTTCAGAACAACCTGTTTTACAAGAGAAAAATCTTTAACAAGTAAGCATCTTACAGCAGGAAATTTTCTCACCTCCAGGCATACACAAATTAGCTTATATTATGTTATGATTGGCCTTCAGGACTTCGCATGAAGACTGATTTCACAAACACAAAATGACTACCTTATTAATCTTTCCACAAAATTATTTTTTCTTCCCCAGAATGACAAGCTATCTCTTAAGTTCTGTTTGTGGCCTAAGGTTTTGTACACTGCAAGAAACTTTGCTGAAAGGGAACTCAGCTGTGGTGTTAGAAATTGGGGCCTGTGATTTATATGATGGGTTTGCTATAAAACAGATTTTAAATTAGGTGCCATCAAATGCATTAACATAACGGACAGGCTGTGTGAGGATAAGGCATTGGCTTTTTCAAGCAACAAACAGCTGCACTGAGGACCAGATGACACTATCTTTTAATATCCTCTTTCCTGGATTCTAGAAATCTGATGTGTTAAGTAGCCTTATTTCCATAGTCAACAAAGAGGGAATGGCTTGTCATTGACGTGTAAAGTAGATCAGTTGTCATAAACTGAGGAGATACATAGTTATAATTTCCCCTGCTTTCACTCTGAAGGACAGGAGGAAATGAAATTTTGCCTGTGTCCATCAGAATAAAAAGATTTAGGAGAACTTGTCATACATTTTATGATTTGTCCCCACAGGAGATATCACCAATGAGCTAGTAAGACACTTCCTGATTGAAACCAGCCCTAAAGGTGTGAAACTAAAAGGATGTCCCAATGAGCCGAATTTTGGTGAGTGTTCCCTTTTTTAATTTCCTCCACTTTTTTTATATAGAACTGTACCATCCTGCCCTCTTGTGGGTGTCATTTAAATGGAAATAAGGATATTCCTATTCTTCTCCTTACAGGAGAGCACAGAAAATGTAAGATTAAATGAAAATTCCTCTATTAAAGCTGGATTTGCATAAGTGTCAGGGGCATTTGCCAGAACTGAAAGAGCTATGGTTCAGTATTTATTTATTTTAATATACATTGAGCAAAAGGTATTTTAAATATTCAAGGGGAATTGCATCATGCCACCATTCCAAGGATGTTAGTAATGTATAGCAGAGGTCCCCAGCCCCCGGTCCACAGCCTAGTGCTGGTCTGTGGCCTGAGCAGGACCAGGACGTGGAGACAGACCTCCCGCTCCACTCCCCACCCATGCATGCACGCTCCAGCATGCCCATGCAAGCACCATGTTGCCGTTTGTGCATGAGCGCAAGCGCACCCGCACAAGCACCGCCACTTGTGCATACGCATGAGCACGGGGGTGCCCTGCCTTCCCCAGCCGGTCCACGGGGTCAAAAGAGTTGGGGACCCCTGATGTATAGCACTCAATTATGCTGTGTTACTTCATGTGAGGGGATCATACATTGTCAGGCTTCTGCTACAGCTGTCAAAATCCTACAGGGCCAGCTGGAAGTTTCTGGCCATTACACTCCCACGGTCCTTGATGCCACAAGAGACCTTAGGGCTTGATACAGGACTTGGCCCCTAGTCTATTGTAGAATCATGCCATGAATTTTCATTTCTTTTGACTGTGTTCCCTCTTCTTTTCTCAGGTTGCCTATCTGCTCTGGTGTACCAACACTCCATCATGCCTCTGGCCTTGCCCTGCAAGCTGGTCATTCCTGATCGAGGTAAAGGCACTAGCATGAAGACCTGTGGATAGGGAGGAAAGACTAAAGAGCAGAGTGCCTGGAGGAAATGAAATGGAATAGTCACCTTGCAGGGGGAATGGGTGTGTAGTTGTGTGCTTATGCATGCATAAGTACATACAGGTGTGTGAGTTCAAAACCTGTGAGAAGAGGAGTCCCCTACCTAATCCTGGTCTGATAAATACAAACCACTTGGGAATCTTAAAATCTTCCTTTCCAAGTTCACATCTTTTGTTTTAAGGTTCGGTCTGTATATGTTACAAAAGATGGGTGTCAAATCAGAAGACTGCATGTATAAATGTGACTTACATATTGAGGTTATGAAATTGTCCTACTGAAGGAGCAGAGCAAAAGCACATCCCCATGTGTAACAGCAGTAGTGATATCCTTCTATCAATGTAAAGTGTTCCGCTGCTAACAGGTTTCATTGAAGGCAGGATATTAGTGTCATTCTAAAATATGAGCAACAACTGTCTGTCTGTTCTTCCTCTAAGAATTACATCTCCCACGACTTTATACTGTAAATCTAAAATAATCCTTTCTATTCTTGGCTGATTTCTCACAGAAAGTACTTCCTTATTTCATTTTTAAAAATGCTGAAATGCAGGAGAATCTTCCATCTCTTCATCAAAAGGCATTAAAGTACTGATAAGGGAAAAAAAAGACTGTATTCTTTTAACCACATTTTAACATGTGCCTTGTGAATATAGCATGGTAACACAGATAAGTGAAATGAGTCTGGTTATATTCCTTTAGAAAAGCTCTTGCCACTGTTAAATACTTCCTTCCTTTCTTTTCCCCACTTCCCCCCCTTTTTTAAAGATCCCATGGATGAAACAAAAGAGACAACCTCATCTAGCAACTCAGCAACTGACTTGCTCAAGCAAGGAGCAGGTGAGTGGAAGGAGCCATTAGCCCAAATTAAAATCACAATGAAAACCAAAAAGGAAAAGGAAAAAGATGATTTTGGAAAACACACTGAAAAGGGTTAATTTATCATTTAAAGTTTGTTTTTGAAATTTCAGTTTGAAACAAATTTCTTGTTTCTTGTCTAGCTTTATGGGTGTATTGGTCCAAGTTCTTCACATAGATTCAAAGACAATTTTTTTTAAAAAAACCACACACAGAGAGAGATATTCATACTGTGGACTGCTTTTGACCAGTCAAAGGCTTGCCTAAAATACGGCTATCAAGAGAGGGGCCCTAATTACAGTGGTGCTTCTCTAGACGATGATAATCCGTTCCACTGAAATCGCTGTTTAGTGAAATCATTGTCTAGCGAAAAGCATTTCCTCATTGGAATGCATTGAAACCTGTTTAATGCATTCCAATGGGGAAGAATCATCGTTGTCTAGCAAAGATCGGCCATAGGAAAGCCGCTTTGCGAACCACCGATCAGCTGTTTAAATCGCTGTCTTGCGAAGCTTAGGTCCCAAAACACCTGTTTTGTGAGCGTGGAAGAAGCTGTCAAAATCGTCATCTAGCAAAAATTGGTTTGTGAAGCAGGGACCAAACATTGTCCAGCAAAATTCCCCTATAGGAATCACTGTTTTGCGAATTGCTATAGCAATTGCAAAAAGTCAAAGTCTAGCGAAAAAAAACTGTCATGCAAGGTAACTGTCTAGCGAGGCACCACTGTATTTCTTTTAATGACCTCATCAGGGTGAGAAATTAAATGAATACTGCAGGCCTGTGGTACCTGACAGTGGCCAGTGGAAGAGTTGGGGTCAGTCTCCCAACTCTGATCTAAGCACGGTCCTGCCTGTGGGCTCCTTTAATCCCTTTGTCCAGTTGACTGTGTACGGTAGAGATGGTCAAAGGGTGGCCCTCCCAGTTTCACTGGAGGACAAGCCATGGCCAGCACAGCCCTTTCTGAGGAACACTGGGATTAAATGGACTCTTATGCCTTGATGTCTGAGATAAACAGCACATGGGAACTGTACGGACTGGGGTCACAGTATGCCATGAAGCAGCTACACTGAATGTTGATTTGACTCACTCCTCCCTCCATGATATTTGACTAAGGTTTCTGCTTATTTAGGTTTTAGAACCACCTATTTAGACCTGGAAGCAATATTCTCCAGGCCTGTGCTTGTTTACACGGTAACCCTGTATTTGATTTTGACCCCATGGAAAAAGACAGTGAGATAACAATCTCAAGTTATCTGTTATTTATTAGGGCTTCTGTGTGCAGACATTAAATAGACTGCAGACACATGTGCACCATCCTGCTCACAGTGCAAGCAGCATCAGCATCAGGATGGTGCCAACTTCAGCCTTTGTACTTCTCCTGCACTGTGCCATGACTCTAAAGGCTCTGCTGTTTTTTGTTCCAGCCTGCAATGTCCTCTTTATTAACTCAGTGGAAATGGAATCCTTAACTGGGCCACAGGCCATCGCCAAAGCCATCACTGAGACGCTGGCTGCAGATGCTCCACCTTCTGCTACTATTGTCCACTTTAAAGTTTCAACACAAGGAATCACCTTAACAGACAACCAGAGGAAGTAAGGACCCTGAAGGATTTGGGGTTGAGGGCCATCTTGGTGTTTATAAAAGAAACGTTCTGTCCTTATAACTTTTGGTTAGTCATAAATGCTGTGAATTACTTTCTGCCTTTCAGCCAATAAATAAATAAATAAATAAAAACACACACACACACATTCTGCGCCACAGCATCACAATCTGTTTCAGAAGGCAATGTTGCCATAGTGCAAGTATGGGCTACCTCAGCATGGCCAATGGCTATTTGCTAGTAGCCCAAGCGAAACATTTCCGAAGGTACTAAATGGAACGAAAAGAACCGGATCGTGTATTTATTATTTTATCAATAATATATATATTCTTTAAAAAGCGATTAGGTACTGCAATGGTTGCTACCATGTGTTTTTGTCATCTGAAAAATAGCTTCAACTTTTTTAAAAAAAAAACCCACATTTTTAATAGAAAGTGTTCCCTTATGTCTTCTGGTGGTTGAATATATACTTTAAAAAGTTGGGGGCTAGTGGGAACTCCTCAAAAGATGGCAAAATTGATCTTGTTGCCCCTTAGAAGGCACAAAGTATCTTTCTGAGAAAAAAAAACCTCAAAGAAAACTTTTTAAATTGGAGGGTTGTGGTTAGGGGAATAGAAAACCACAGAGATGGCCAGGGAAAGCATGTGGCCTGCAGGCTGTTCGTTGCTCATACTTTCTATAACTGGTAGAATGACATGTTGATGGTTGTAGCAAATCTAACAGTGTTTAAATAGCCTTGAATATGCAGAGTTGATCTGGATTAATAGTTTTATCATAACTATCTGCACTTATATAGTAAATTCTCATGACTCCTGAAGATGATCTCCCCTGGGATGTTTAGGTCATTTGTATGGATGGATTCACTATCGTTCATCTGTCACTATTTCACCATTTGCCTCGACATCATGTCATTTGCTCTTATCTGCATTCCTATTTCAGGTTATTCTTCAGACGACATTATCCCATCAGCACTGTCACTTTCTGTGATGTGGATCCACAGGAGAGAAAGTAAGTCTTTAAATAAAAAGTTGCTGTTTGTTTGCTTTTCCAGAAACTCAAAATAGTTCAGTGCCTGCATAGGGCTGTGGAGCTCTTCTCTAAATTTTGGGGCAATGCGTCTTCACTCCTCTTATCATAAGCTGCCTATGTGTATGTATGTAATGGAAAAATTGTCCTCCTGCCTCGTATTATGTACTGTATCTCTATGCTTCTTATTCTATTCATTAATTTATTTAAAAGACTTTTAACCCTGTCTTTCAGTGAAAACTGCCAAAGATGCTAACAGCAAGCCATTAAAAAGAAATATGCTTCAGTAGCAAGATGTGTTCAAAAATACTGCAATCAGGGAAAAAAATTAAGAGTCATTAAGAGTTCCTAATAGAGTAAATCACCTTAATATCTCAAGGGAGGACAATGGACAACTATGTGCCATCACCAAAAAGATATGCAGCTAAAAGGCATTTAGAGGAAGACCTCTGATGCAAATAACAAGGAACATGAATTTCATAGAATAAATTCTTATCTATAAAGTCAACTCCCAACTTATATCCATTCCAGATTCTAAAAACAGCAACTAGAAATGTCCAGAATGTTCTTTATAAATCAGTTATAACAAAGTGTGTGCATGGTGAAAATTTCCTTATTTCATTTTGAGTTCTTTCAGTGGTGTCATTTCATTTTCACATTTTTCATATACCTGTATTTTCACTTGACATGAAAGGGAAAACCCCTTTTGTGTTATAGGTTCCATGTTTCCCCATCCGTGTCTTCTGGCACCCCATAAGTTATAAAGAACTCTCACAAACTAATCATAAAATTACAAATCCCTGTTCCCCTAGATGTTCTGATTGGCTACTCAGAGGAGCTCTTAGGCTATTAGATGAAAAATTTCCTGGCTAATTTGGCAAACAAAGAGTGAAAGAAAAGTTACATGATTGAGGAAATACAAATGAAATTAAGATCTCATGCCCCCTTTTTCTGTTCACACAAATAATTTGTGTTGTACAGGCAGTCTTTCAGCAGTCAACAAACAAACACAAAATATGAAAAAGTGAGACTCTTTCACCTTTGGGTGAAAGGCCTAATTCTACCTTATGGTTGAATAGGCTAAAATATGAAGATGTCAGGTTATTCTGTAAACTATTGACTGGGATGAAGAAAACCAGGATTGATTGAGTAGGAGAGAGTTGTGGGTAACTAGCTAATGTTGATTTCTCAGAACCTTTTTCCTCTTGTGTTTTGCTTCTGTGAGAGCCCTTCTCACAGATTCCAGCATCTGAATGAGAGCAGAAATGCTCATAATTAATATTCTATTCTCCTACTGTGCTACTGCCAAATCTCTTTCATTTCCAAACTCCAAACTAGTTGTTCCAAGAAATATGCCTAAGCAGGAACATGAAAAATTGTCAACAGTGGTTGAGATTTACAGGCTTCTCACACATTTGATCCTTCTTTGTAATGAACTCCATTATCAGTGGAGAGTCAGAATGACAAAGTGAACTCTGTTGATTTTTTTAAAAAGTATTTCATTGCTTTGCACATGGTGAAGGCTCAGTTTCAGATCCAAATTCATTTGGTTTATTGGCTTAAATCTACTGGGCACCAGTTGGCAAGTCAGTAGCTAGAACGGATTTGAAAAATTACAGTGTTGTTCATTGTTCTGTAGAAGAGCTTCTTAATCATGAATTTGAGGCCATGGAGCATCAGCTCAGACTTGAATTTCAGTGCAATTTTCCCATCCATTTATAAACTCAATCCTTCCAAGGGCCAGGTCTAAGTAACAGATTGTTTCTCTAAAGAAGCAAGGATCTAAACAGTAAGGGACAGAAGGGGTCATCTTCCTTCTAGGCCATAGACAAATTTCTCTTTTCAGACACTAGATTGGAATAAAGTATTCAGGCATTTGAATCAGTCTAGGTTTTACTTCCAAGCTGTCCTCTCCTCTTGTCTAGTTATCATTGTTCTGTACAAATTTGAGCTGAATATTATTCTGGTTTGCTTACCTGTTGTTGCACCTTTGGAGGTTAACCAGAGGTTGTCCTTTTCTCTTCAGGTGGACTAAGTCAGAGAGTGGTGGGTCTGCAAAGTAAGTCCTGTTTTTATTTATTTCAGAATTAGCATTCATAATGACCACCTAGGCCGAATGCCTTTCCCATAGTCGCCACACTCTCCTATGCTGGCAATGTTTTCATTTGACCTAATTGGCTTTGGATCAAATAGTTTTCCAGGCAGAGTTAAGAGAAGAGGTGGTTGGATGGAGTGTTGGGTTGCATTTGACAGCAAACCTTTTGACCCAGAGGGGCACACTCGATTTTGGCGAGGGATCACATGCACGTTCATGTATGTGCTCATACAGAGCATCCTTTCTGAACATACAAGTCTCAATGCAGAGTGGTGCAATGACTGACTTAAAGCTGAACCCAATCAGATATGAAAGCTCTCATCCATCCTCCTGGGCCCATAACTGGGGCAGTTCTTTACCTGGCAGTCTCAGAAGCCAGGGAACAGTATTTTAATCTCAATCTAGGGTCTAGGCTGCAAGAGTCTCTCCAGCTTCAGGGATTCCTTGCAGCTTTGAGCCACAGTCCTAACTCTGAAGGTGAAAAGCATCACATTGAGAAAGATCAGAGACCAAGAGCCAATACCAGAAAATGATGCTGTTTTAGTCAAAGGATGAAGTGCGCCTTTTAACTTGCACTTGGTTGAGCTTCTCCAGAACTCCTGTCATTTACTGTTAGACATACAGTCTAGCTGTGGAGTGTAATTTTAATGAAGTGGTGGGGCTTGTTTCCTTCTTTTCTTTTTTTTTTCCTTCTGGACATGACCATTGTATCCCTGAACAAGCAGCAAAGCCCATTTCTAACCACATGTGGTTTACACATGTGCATGGCCCTTACAATAAATTTAGTTGACATCAGGTTTCACATAGATCTTGAACCACTAAAGACTGAAATGTGTTTGAATGTCCCTGGATGGTCTTCCTTTCTTGACAAGATTCTTGTCTGTTTGCACTGCTTGAGCAGTGCTTCATTGGGTGAGCAGTGGGTGTTTTTCAAAGATAGAACAAGAAAGCATCCAGCAGCCTATTACACAAAGAGAGGCTTTGTGCATTGCAAGGGAACAGTGTCCAATTTGTGCAATTGTAAGGTGGAGGTGACAGGCACTCTGGGGGCAGAGCACTGCACTTCGCCTGCAGTGAGCAGGATTCTGGCTCTTTCAAGGGTTTTCTTCTTCACCGAACAAAAAAGAAAAAAAGGGTGTGTGTGTCAAAAATATGACTGAAAGATGTTACTGTACCAGATTGATTGTTCTGAATGATAAGACAGCACTGAAGGCATATCTTTGTGATCTGGACGTGGCAGTGACCTAATTTTGTGTAATGCCAGTGTAGCTTTGAATCTCTGGAATTAGTTAGGTTTTGCCAATTTAAACAATTCTTTTTCCATTGAAGAATATAAGAATAAAAAGTCAAGCAATCGCAGCCATTTGATTCCCCCTTCATTTCCCTAGTCCTGTTTTTCCTTTCCTCTCATGCTGCTGCTGCTGCTATGTGAATAGCTTTGGAGTAGGCTCTGGCTCTCACTAATTTTAGACATAGTATATTGTAAGGGGTGTTTTTATTAGAATCTCCAGCTGTCAGGATTTTTCTGTCTCTAATTAGAAATGACAGGAGCAGGATCACATTTTGTTCTCATTCCATTTAGTATTTATAACTTTCCTTAAAAGTGTTAACAATATATATATGTGTGTGTATTTAGATAGGTTAGTATTGGGAATCTCTGTCTCATATTTTCGAGATGCAGTAGTGGATCTCCCATCCAATTCCATGTCAGTTTGGTTCATTTGCTTTGTGTTCTTGTGTCTCCAATGCTGGTGCTAGAAGATAGTGGCTGTTGATACATAATCTCATCTGATATACCAATATGACACCAGGGTTGTTAAGTTTGGTAGCAACTGCCACTCCACAAATAGTGTAAACTTTCCAGAGTGCTTTGGGAAATTACTTATTTGGATTATGGCTCCTAACACCCTCCCCTCCAAGTTGGCTAGGAGATTCTGAGAGCCATCATCTAAAAAAGTTACTTGGCCTGTCAAAGTGTTTTACCTCACACACATTCATTCTGACCTCCACCCGGCATCTTTAACTTCTCTGCCATTTCTGCAGGCTCTTCGGCTTTGTGGCAAGGAAGCAAGGCAGTACAACGGATAACGTCTGTCACCTCTTTGCTGAGCTGGACCCTGATCAGCCAGCGGATGCCATTGTCAACTTTGTTTCCAGAGTTATGTTTGGCTCCTCTCAGAAGAGATGAACTGATGCCTTCCCCCAGCAGGGGGCTTCTTGCCCTTGAATTTTGAAGAAGGACTTGGAGTTGTTCCGAGAGGGAGTGCGAGGAAGTGCATTGTGAGCGAGGGAAGTGAACCAAGGGGCAGAAGGAGGGGGAAAGGTCTGAATTGTTGGAGGCTCAACCTAACCCAATGTATGTACAAAGCAAAAAACAAACAAACAAACAAACCAAGGAACTCATGCCACCGCCTTTCCTTGTCTGGATTAAGAAGTGGAGACAGTTTGAGCTTTTGGATCAGCATGAAAGCAGAGAATTCAGCCCCACAGGCCAAAGCACGGATCTTATTAACCTACGTGGGGTAGGACTATATAGTAGTTGCTTGTTTAGAAAATAAGGCAAACACAAATTTAATCATGAATATGTGAGCTGCAGGAATCCCATTGAAAGATATGCCAAACAAGCCGTCCTTGGTACCTGTTTGTGAAAGTAATTGCTCCCAACTCTTTAACTGCTGAATGTATGAAGTGTGTGTGTGTGTGTGTGTGTGTGTGTGTGTGTGTGTGTCTGCACGCACGTGCATGCATGTGAGTCTGTGTATGTGTAGTGCACACATGTTTTAATGTGTACCTGTGGATAACTGTAGTGTTAGGGTCATGCATCTCCTGAATGTTGAGAGTTGGTTATTCAGAATTTTTATCTGTTTATACCTGACGTCTGTCCTTCTTCCAAGGACATAGGCCTCCATCACTCCAGCTATGGGGAAAGCTTCCTGATCAGTTATTAGTATTGTGAGATCTATCATAGAGTCTTACACACATGTGCGCCCATGCACACACACACACACACACGTATGTATGTCTGTGTTCATATACTCATGGACATAACAACTGTGCACAAGAGTTGCAGACTGGGTAATCTTTCTCTAGCTAACAGTAGGAGCATGCTAGCCAAATCAAAATAATATCTTCTGGTCTCCATGCATGGAGGTCCACAGTAGGTCATTTCAACAGAAAACCTCCCTCAGGACAACACTGTCCCTAAAATATTAAAATACCAGCAGTTTGAGAATGCCATTCCTTTTGCAGGTCAAGTAAAAGCCCTGCCTGGGTTTATTCCCTTCTCCTTTGGGAGACATGCATGCGGATTTGTACAAAGCATGGAAATTATTCATTAGCACCAAAAAAATAAAAATATGATTGGGGAAAGAGGAAAGGGGTGGGAAGATTTTGTAGGGATAATCCTCAAAAAGACTCAGGTTGGTATCTGGCTCAAGTGCAGCCAAAGGAGATCCAACCAGCAGGGGCTGTAATTGGATGTTCCATGTTTAGTAAGTAGAAAAATTAATCTATTCTCTTGCTTCGTTGAACTTTGCTTTTGCTAATACTGGTGGCACCAAGCATCAGACATTGTGCTGATCTGCTAGCCCACAGTTGGCAATGTTCTCCTTGATTTACATTGGTTGTGGAAAGGAAGGCAGTTCCTCTGCCTTGCACATTTCTTTGGGCTGAAGAGCAATTGTACATCAATTTCCACAGCAAATGAGGTAGTGTTGTGCCAGGAGAAGAAGTGTGCCTTTCTCTGCTTGGCATCTCCAACTAGTTCTTTTACTAGCATGACTTCTGGCATTCCTTATGGAGCCACATAATCACTGTCTGTTAACCAGTGGCTCTGGGTATCTTTGTCAAGATGAGGCTGAATCTTCAGGAGATGTTTGCTTGGCCAATGGAGGGATCCATTACATGGTCTTCCTGTTGCATGGTGGCATTTTTCTCATCATCCTCTCAGGCATCTGCAATTGGCAAATCCCAGACACAAACTCTCGTACTAAACAGACAAAGAGCTGTCCCCACATATCAAATCCTATGGGTTTATTGTGAATTCTTCAATCTCTACTTAAAATAGAGTCAAGGTCCCTGCTTATTGCCTTGCCCCATGAACTGGTCCAACAGGGACTAGGCAAGGACCTCTAAAAAGACAGTATAGATGGCAGCAGCATGAGTTAATGAGAAGAAGTATTTGGTCTGTAAGACTTATGCATCCTCTCTTGGTAACACTGTGTGGGACTCATAACAGACTTTTTGGGTGGGTGGGCTTTACAGCACCTCTACTCATTAAGAACCAGTAATGAAAAAAACAACATCTCCCTTAAATGTTTCCTTGGCTTTAAAAAAATATATACTGAACCTGAACTAGTGGAGAGGATGCTCTTTAGAGATCTTCTCTGTGTGTTGATGGGACTTGTAAGTCATGCAACATGCACTACAACTCAACCCACAAATGCCAAGTCATGCTGTTACCTAAATTCCCCTAGAGAGTGTGGCTCTCTCATTGCCTTGATATAATATATTTATATATATATGTATGTATGTATGTATGAAATATACTAATAATGTAAGTTAGTCAAAAAAATTTAAAAGTGAAATTTACACAAAAAGTATTTATTTTTTTTGCCATATCTCTTTCATCTATCCTTTATTTCCTCCAGTATTTGCAGCCCTACTCCCCTTCCCCTACAATGTTAAGAATTTCTTATATGTCTAGCTTAGGGGAAAGCGATTAGTATTCCTTACGTGGGCAAGGTATCAAAAAGTGACGGCAACCCTGCATTCTACCCAAGCCCCCTAATTTTGTTTTGTTCTTGTGTGACAGGGCAAGGGAAACTGTATGGCCTTTCTCATAGCCATCAACACACTGTTGAACAGTCTGCCTGAGCAACTGAGCATGTATGAATTGGTACACTGTTGTGACAGATGGGAGGGTCAGGGGTGTGTGTACGTGTGAAAGTGTGTGGAGAGAGACTAATTTCTGGATACTGTATAAAGCATGAGATTTGCATCGGAGAGCTATGGCTGAGACAGGCGCTTGGATGGAGTGGGAGCATCAGGTTTTGGGGTCATTGCCCAGGCTTTGTGCTTCATCGATAACCAGATAGGATGCCAGAGTTTGTGAATGCTTATTCTTTATGTAGGTTACAAATATTTCCTTCCTTCTGAGAAATTCAAGCAAGATGATCCCCCTGCCCCTTCTTGCCTGCAACTGTCTCACCCTGCCATTAATCAATTAGCGAAACACTGTGTCTATAGATATATAAATATTATAAATATACATATATATATATTTTTCGAAAGTCTCTATTTTTCAGACTTCATTCTTTTCCACTACTTTCAAACATTTGCAGTCCCCCACCTCCACTTTTCACCTTCAACATTTGCTGTCCTGCCACTATTTTGTCATTCATTTTGTTTTGCCATTCAGAAGTAAGCTTGTTATAAGCATCTAATGGTAATATATAAATAAATATTATCATGGCAAACCCATGCATGTCAGCAGAGTATCAGCTTCGTGCCATGGACTGCTCACTAACTCACTCACTGAAGATGATAATTTCAAGATTCTTCTTCTTAAACATCCTTGCTGATTTTTTTTCCTCATTTGTTTTAAAGGCAAAGCAAATCACATTATGTAACTCACTGCTTCCCCAGCTTATATTCTAGACAAAAGCTGCATTTTAAGAATAACTGTTGTACGTATCATCACAGTGTTACCTAGGTCAGATTCTCAGATTCTCCAGTGTGGTTCTGAATATGGGGTTCACAAAATATATGAGAGGCAGAGCACCCAGAGAGGCACAAACAAGGGCTGGAGAAGGGAGTATTGAGAGCTCTCCACGGCAGAACCCGCAGTTTCTCTATATATCTTGACTGGGTTTCCAAAGTGTGAAATTACCTTTCCCTTCTTTCCCTCAACCATCAATAGTGCCTCTCCAGTTATGTTTAAGATCACAGAGAGAGAGAGAGAGATTTAGCATCTCAAGTCAGTCCATTTTTATGGACTGCCAATACAATTGTAACAGGAGTGGAACATCCTTGGATACATGGGAACTGAGCAAAGAAATCCATTTTTAAATTATGTCACTTTTTTGGGGGGGGCAGGAAACAGTCCCCTCTTTCCCCTTTTCTGTCATCTATCTTTTAAACTGTTTGTCAAAACTATGTTCCTGTCCATTGTGATCTGACTAGCGGTGTGCAGCCTTGGGCCCCCAAATGTTCTTGGGCTAAAACTCCCCAAAGCCTTTGCCACTAGCTATGCTGGTCAGGAGTGCTAGGAGTTGTAGCCGAAGAGCATCTGGGGACCCACGGTTGAGAACCATTGGCCTAAATATTTGTCTATAATGTGAGAAAGTGACTGGCTTGGTGAATCACTGTTAGGATGTCTCTCTCACACACACACCTCTTAAATCACACTCACAGTCTCCATAGATAAGAGAGGCTGTTTTGTGACACAGATGTACTTGAGAGGTGGAGGAGAGGGTCTAGATCCCATTTAGCTTGCCTTCTGTTGAATCCAAATGTGGAAGGAGCCACTAGAATTTCCAAACAAATTGATGGCCTTTGTGGATTATTTCTTCAAAGAGCACAAGATTCTTCCATTGGAGACACATTACCTTATTTCGAATGCTTGGGACTGAGATCTAATGTAATTTTTATCTCATGTATGCTATGTAATAATGTTACTATTTCAATAGATGGTGTTATATTTTAATGCACATGCATACCAATGCCCTCCACCATGCTCAAATAACTGCATAATCTTGCCAAAGATACCTGTTTGAAATGCACTTTCCTCTTCTTGTTGGTTGTACATTTATTGTCTGTGCCTCTTTACTTTCTTTCTAGGTCACTTTTGTTGTTTTTAAATTTTGTGCTCTGATACCTTTTTGTTCTTTCTCTAGACAATTTGTGAAACTCTGATCACCCTTCAGAAGATGGGTGATGGGTTAACTAATTTTATGCGTTAGTACAATATTTGAGGGAAATATTGAGCAGTGAAAAATGGGCAAAATTAAGATAAGGTTGTGAGGAAGAACAGGAGCAAAGCCATTCAAGTACCCTCAAATCCTACTTCCTCAGGCCTTAATTCTTATTCTTTTGAAAACAACAACTATAACAAACTGCAGCTCCTGCTCCATCTTGTCCCCCAGAATGACTGCAGTTGTTTGTTTTAAGTATTACTTCAAATTAAGTAAACATTTTTACTGTTTCTTCAATTCCCTTCACAACACCTCTGAGAAAAATCTAAGGTGACCAGCATTAAATACAGGAGTGCCTCTTTTTGTGTCAGCATACCTTGTATGCATTGGCAAAGATTTTTAGCATATTTCTGCTGCTGAGGTTATTTGACATCCTGCTGGATGGAGATACAAGAATTAATGACCTAATGAATCATTACATCCTGGAGGCGGACTACTTTTTTATTCCGTGTGGGGCTGTTAGCTAGTACTGTAGTTAGTCAATCTCCTTGTATGGATATTGGCCTGAGGGCACATTCACTGCCAAATTTGACCATGCGCCCAACCAGCTCAGTAGCCTGTCACTAGCTGCATCTATACCGGATGCATGGGAGCAAAACATGAAGAGCAAAGAGGGCCTATTTATATACAATGATGGGCATTAGAATCTCTTGTCAACCAGCCATTTAGTAGCCATTTTAGGCTTCATGCAAAAGAGCCTTGATTTGAGTTGCTTTTGTGCTGCGTCCAGAAATATTTGACAATAGGTCCACTTCACTGTTGTGCATTTCTAGAATATATACATACTGTAGCATACACACAAAAAGAGGAAGATGAACACTTGAGCTGCTGTCAACTGCACTATAAAAGCCAGAGTATTCTCTTGATTATCATGGTCAACAATAGCCATTATTGGGTCTACTTTTGATACACTAGAGAAGGCTGTTTTTTAAAAAAATTTGTAATAGCCAGATAAGCATTTACACCATTCCAAGGGAAGGTGTCACAGAAGAGTCTGACATCACTAACTAGAAGGAGAATGAGTTGGCTTCTCACTGGAGCAAAGGCTGGACAGGCCGTGATTGGGGATACTCTTCCTCCAAAATCCCACCACTGCACACCAGTTTGGACTAGAGAGGTGAAAGGTCAGTTACTGACTCTTTCTGTCACTGTTAAATCAACTGGGAGGCAGACCACATAATGACCCCCCTCTCTGGCTCTCAGTTCAGAGTCTCTGGAGAGAATGCTGAAAGTGTTCACACAAGAGGGGGTGGTCAGAATTGATTAATTGGATTTCTCTTGCATTCTATTTTTTTTATTTTTTTTTTCTTTATCTCAAGTTCTTTCCATCAAATTTATGAAAAAAAATGTGCAAAATTTGAAACGTTCTTGTCAAAAAATGAGCCAAGGACCTCCAGCCATTTGCACTGTCCAGATCTCATAGGTACATAGGTGTCACAGCATGGAAAGGACCAGGTTGGGACCTACCTGCTGTATAACTGTTACAAATGTGGGGCCTGTCTGGGGAAAAAAGGGCAACTCCAATTCAGTCTCACAAACATGGGATTCGAAGCCACACATCTAAGAGCTAAGCCTTCTTGGCTCTTTTGTATGGATGGGTGAATCGCTGCTTCTCTTTTTCCCACATTTGATTTTTTTTTAAAAAAAATCTCAAGTTTCTTTTCATTAATTTTGAAAACTGTGGTTCTGTTATTTGCCATTAGCATTCTGGTTGGTTCTCCAACATCTTCATCCCCATGAAAAGACTTTGTTTGGCAGGGTCCCTCACTTGCCCAGAACCCAGTTAATAGTGACCTGGTGACATATCCACAAAGCTCCAATTGTTCTCTAAATCACTTATTAACCAATGCCTTGAAACTACAGAGGCTAAAGGAGAGGAGTGTGTGTATAGTGTTACAAGCAGCAATGAAACTATGTGATGCTCTCAGCCAAACACTAAAAATGGAGATATTGAACTTCTTAGGGTTGTATTCCTTTCTTAACCATATTCTTTGGAAGTAGATCCTGCTGTTATCATAGGGACATAAAACTAGTATGTATATAATTGAGGTTCTAATTTCCTTGTAGTAGTAATCCTTGCAATGAGTAGCTGAAAGCTGTCTGGTGAGAATCCCTTGCTTCCAGGCTGCCATATTCCACATATTTTGGAACTAAGAAGCAACATAAACTGTGGGAATCAACAGAACTGCTCTGGAGGAAACCATTTTTCCAAGTGACTCAAACCTAACTGTATTTACTAGAATGTATCATCCATTGCTTTCAGTCTGATATACTTCCAAGGAAGGAAGCTTGAAATTGCAAGTGAAGTGTACAGAACCCAACTTTAAAATGGCAAAAGATTTATTTGCCGAAACATCATTGTTCACATTGCATATTCTTTGCCAATGTTAATGGCCGCCTGAAGCAACCTTTTACTTTTCTTTCTTGCATTTATTTTTTTAAACGTACAAAAATATGCAAAAACACACAAATGCATACACAAAGAAGAATAAATGGGGAGGAACAGCGCTAGAATTAATCCCTAATTGACATATTTATACCAACAGAATTATCCTTTATATTTTGTACCTTTATGCCCATAACTTTTTCACATATTTGAGACAGCTCAGCGTCACATGTGGTTCATGAATGAAAAGACCAGGCACACCCACCCCAGCTTTCTTTTCCCTTTGTACAGTTATCTTGACTCATTGCAGTTCCTTGTATGGCTTTATAAATGATAAGATTTTAAACAAAGACAATTATATGAAATATACTGTTGCTTGACATGCCCAGCTTAGTGTCTGGATTGCTGGAATTGTATCTCAAACTTTGAGGGAGTGAAGGAATAAAGATTCTCTACTTTTTTGCACAGGGAAATCATGATGGTGGCTGTGTTCACTCTGACCCCCTTGCACACTCACATAGGTGATTTTGCAAAGAGCAACATAAAAAGCCTCAGGCTGGCTCCAGAAAGTCACTCAAAGTGAAAGTTGAAATGAATGTGGCAGTACCCACTTGGAGAAGAACCTGAAGAACACCGAGGGAAGTGTTAAATAAAAAGAAAGCAGTAAGACTAATCTCAAAGGGATTTCTGGTATCCTTACTAATGAACTTCTAACTTAACCAAATGTTGAAGCAGATAAGGATTTCTCATGAGCACCCCCCATCCTGTAGAACAGAAGGTCAGGCTGAAGAGGTCAGGTTTTTGTGGAGTAGCTTTCCTATGCTTGCATGGTAGAGGAAGGGGACACTGTAGACCCACAGAGACCTTCCCTTCATCATGGATTCATCATCTGAAAGTTCTCAAAACATGCAAAACAAATTTACTGTATTGAAGGGCACACTATATTGGATGTTCAGTATGACATGATCACAGATGGTCAGGGCTGTTTCTGAAATAGTTATTACGACCTGATACTCTAAGCACCCTCCTGCTATTGTAGGCTGTTGTGATGCCACAGAACATTAATGGCATTGTAATTTTCTACCAAAGAATCACCCCCAGAATATTAAGAAACATGAATTTACATGGTACTGAAGAAAATGGGGGAAGCGGCATGAGTACAGTACAGTGGAACCACTCAGGAAATCTTATACAGGGAGAGTAGAGTGGGAAGGAGGAAATAATAGGCAAGGGGAGAAAATGTTCACAGAGGGAAAATATGATCCACATAAACAATTGTGATAAGCAATTTTTAAATGTCTAATAATGCCTCCTCTTGCCTCATACACAGTGGGCTAACTAGAGAGGAAGAGGGCTCAAGAAAAGATGGTGAGGAGATGGGAAAAGTCTATGATCACACAGTGGATGGGACACAAAGATTGAGGAGATGATCACACAGTGGATGGGACACAAAGATCTATGGAGTACCAACTATGGGAAGCAGGAGTTGGATAAGACAGCACACCTGTGGAGTGGAAAACCATGGAACAAGAGTACAAGAATGCAATGAGAGCTGGATTACATCTCCCGACTTGAAATAACTGACCAAATCTTAGAGCCATAAAAAAATCATTAGTGAGTATATTTGCAGATGAAGGTTCCAACTGGGACTTGCACAATGGACATTTTGGGATGAGCCCCCTTGGCCCCACTATCTGAGCTGCCCCTCTATGTTTGAATGCAGAACATTTCCAAAAGCAAGAGGCAAAATGTGACCTGAGTTTCTTAGATACCTGTTCCACAGGAAATGAGGATTACAGAACAAAACAAAAAACAAAACAAAACAAAAAAAAACAAAATAAAAAAAAAACTCCAGTTCCAGTGGTGGGGAAAACATAATTCTGTAAATCTAGACAAGTATTGCAATGCAGTCCTGGAATTGGGATCCATTTAGAATTTTATTTATTTATTTATTTGATTTTTTTTAACCCCACCTTTCATGTAAAAAGGTTTCCAGTGTGGCTTACATCATTAAAAAAGGGTGATATTTAAAAGCTGAAAACAGTAAGTTATACAAATGTGAATTTTTATATGTAGTCCACATGGACTACACATGCTTCTTGCACCAGTAACGCAAAGCTGTATGATACAGTGACAGAGAAACTGAATCAAACTTCAGGAAATGCCATGAATAATCACCACATCGAATTCCATCTGTGATGCCCTCTAAACAGCCATGAGAGGCAGAGGTCCTGGAGCTTGATCCAATAAACTGTACTGCAGAGTAAGAAGGTTTGTGATGTACAGTTTACTGCACAAGGTGTGTCCAATACAACAGATCAAAGGTGTCACATAGTAACCACCCGATAGAACCAGAGCAAGAAAAACTCAGCCCTTGAGGGCACATTTATTTATTCTTTAGGTTTCTTCTAATGCCCTGCCAAAGATCACCAGTGATGCTGCTCA